GTTCACATGACACAACAGTTCGCTTAAAAATAACGTAGAAGTTACTTGATTGTTTTCTAACTCTCAACTGCTGGCAGTTGGGTTCCATGACCAAGCAAGCCACAGCAAGATTCATGGCCAAGAGTGCCATATAAAGTGATCCCTGCAAGAACCCAAGAAGATGGGACAGCCTCTGTAGGTAAATTAAGCCATGATGGGCTGTTTATCATGTGAACCAGGTCACTGTTAGTGATTAGCAATGGATTTGTGAGAGGAAGATGATATATCTGTCATTGAACAGATCTATTCTGAATTAGTTTTCTCAACCTTGTCTTTTGCCTGAGAGTTTTTTAACCTGGTGTTCTAAGGCACTGCTCCAAATTAGAGTGCTTCTTCATTCATGATACAATGGTTTTCTGATACAAACATTTTCCATCTGTAGAGCTGAGCCTTTTATAGTGACAGCAATTAACCAGAGTATCTAACAAATAGTCCTAGAAAGATTTTTGCTAAATGGGATATGAGTTAATACCCTATGAGCATAGTTAATACCCTATGAGCATATTTCATCTTTTGTTTGTAACAGGGATAGCCAACTTATAGCCTGCTGGCCACATTCAGCTTTGACCAACTCTCTCCTCATGCCAGACAAAATTCTGCATCTTGGCTGGTAGCTGCTTCTGCTAGTGAGAGTGAGAGATTTCTGAGGAAGCCTCTGCATAATTGCAGATGCCTTGAGACAGCCTCTCATTTCCTAATGAAAGGGGCATCTGTTCTCAGTCTGAGAGGTCAGACTCCCCAGCCAAGCTGAGAGGATGTATGATGACATCATAGCTGTGTCCTGTGGCCTCTGTGCAGCTGGTTGAGGTAGAGTCAGCACTCCAGATGATAAGAAGCCCATGTCATCCATAAGAAGCAATGATGTCCTTAAAACATACAAAGTGTAGGATCAGCTGTTTTCACAGTCTTTGAATTACTTTCTTCAGTGATAACAATATGACTGCAAGCCTAAGGTAAATCAGCCTAAAGAAGGACAGACAAACAGAGGAGTACAAACAAATGGATACCTAATCCAGATAAGACAAGGGTAATTTTGAACTGTAAGAGTAAGCAGAGTCATACTGAAATGTGCCTACTGATAAGCACAATGCAATGACTACATAAGGAAACGTGGGGGGGGGCGCAATGGCACTCAGGTCACTTTTGCTACCAGTGTCCTCAGCTGGTTCCCTCTGTTGGAGGACAGAGCTGTGTGTACCACAAAGCCTGTTCTCAAGCTCCTAATCTGTGGTATAGAGGTAAAATTCAGCTGACAGTCCAGCCAGCTTCTGTATGGGGAGAAGGCACCATTTTCACTTCTGGCAACAAATGCCTTGGGCCAGCCCTGAGACTAAGGATCAAGTATGGAGAGTTCAAACTGGTTTTGATGATGTAGTGCTCCCTTTGAAGAATAAGGCTTACACTTTTTGCCTTGCAATGGGTCTTGATAAACAAATGATACTCCTGCCAGACATGTGCTTGTACAACTTCAGCTAGTTAACTAACTTCATCCCTTCTATGAGAAATTAGAGTTGACATTTGGGCCACATGTCCTAATTATTTCTCATTTCAGCCCTATGTGGAGCAGGGTGTTGACTGAAGCAGGTCATAGTGATTGCATTGACTTGTTACAACAGTAGCATGAGCTGCTATTTTGTTTCTGAGCACAATTTAAAGAGCTAGCTTTGACTATTAAAACTCTAATGGTCAGGTATAAGCCTGTCTGAAAGACCATCTGACTGAACATGAGGATATGCAGGTGTGGTTCTTTTTCATGTTCTACCTAAATGTTCTACCTACATTCATTATATAAAGATGAGAGAGGGTCTTTTCAGAATCTTTTATGCCTTGATTTGCAAATTCTCTTCTTTGAAAAGTTCATGTTGTTCTCTTGAGGCTAGCTTTTGACTGACTTTTAGCCCATAAGTCTTTATTCCTGCTTATATTTAGTGCTTTTTTATTGATGTGTGATCTACATAGATTGAGTCAAATTTATTCATATGTAGAAGAAACCTATTGAAATCAAACCTCACTGATTTCAAGGAATTAAGTACTTTTAAGTATGACCAAGTCAGCAACCAACCCATTGGCTTGGATTTACAGTCTGCCTCCTGTGAACAGAAAATCTTCTTCCATCTGTGGAAGGCTCCTGATATACTGAAATGTAACTGATGGCAAAACAGGAGAGAGAGTGGCATTAGCTGACTATTCCCTCTCTCTGCAGTACTTGATATCTCCTGAAAATCTTCTCTGGAAACTTGTGAGCTTTCTAAGAAGTGTGGGAAGTGAGACTGGGGCCTTTGGAAGTAGGGAGGAATCTGTGAAGATAATGCCTTCCCACCACTTCTGTCAGCTTGCTTATTCTGTGTAAAATTTTACTTAGGGAGTATTCTTGCTGGTATGGAGAAGCCTAAGATTCAACTCAGTATGTTAAGTTTGTGTTTTGATAAATAGTCTATTTATTGTTAGCTACCTGGTGCAATATCCTCTTGGAGAAGTAGATATAACCACAATGAAACAAATACTTAATGGCTTTCAGTTGATTTTAGAAAAAATATTGTCCTAGTTTCAAATATCATGTGCCTTGATTGAATGCAATTATATAAAGTTGTAGGCAAAAGCCTTCATACTTTGGATTCTGCTGCAGACTTACATCTTAATGCAACATGTTAAGTGAATTTCTCTTTTTACTGTTTTAGAATTTCATCTAACAGTTTTCTGCTTGAATTTTTATTATGCATACACTCTTGGAAATCTATGGCCACTTAAAGTATACCATCTCATAGCCACATGGCTCTCTAGACAGTTTACATAGTAAAAAACTGACAGCACAATTAAACACAACACAATTAAAACCACAGTATCAATAATACATAGCATCATAACAGGAATACCAATTAATAGTTTAACGACATACTGGAATTATCTTAAATGTCATAATTAAGAATACTAATATTTGCAATAAAATATAAAATCAATTTCCAATTAAAATCATTAACAATTTAAAATGCTCCTTAAATTTTAAAAAAGTCTTGGTCTGGTGCCAGAATATGTATAAGGACAGTGCTTGATGAATATCTTTGGGAAGTCAATTCCACAGATTATAATTGGGGTCCAATCTTCTCTTTCCTTTTTATTGTAAAACTATATCTATGTATCCAGGAATCAATACTTTGTACCACTACTTTGATGTCAGAGCATAAAAGTATTAAGTTAGAGTCCAAAGATTCCTTTGTGCTCATGAAATTGCTTTGTGCATTTTGTGCTACACTATTCCAGGAAAAAAAATATAAAATTTAAGCATGCCACTTTAACAAATTACATTAAAAAAGGAAATTAAGTACAAATATCTTATTTCAGTTGTGCAAAAAGATGCAGAGTAGGTTGTGTAGAGTTGGCCAAATGGAATCATATCTGCTATAAAATAGTTTATAACATTATGTGAACTCTTGTGCCAGCATGGTGGAATTGCTCCCAGGTTCTTTGGGCCCAGCCCAATACATTTTTCAGTTTGTTTGTAGTGCTATCCTATGCATGCTTACACCAAAGAAAGTCCTACAACTCCCCATGCTGGCTGGGGAATGCTGGGATCTAATAGGACTTTTTCTTAAGCACATATAATATTGATCCCTTATTGGATCTTTTTCGGAGACTTTCAATGTAAGAATGGTGTCAAGAGACTACTGATTGCCTTAGGTGGAGGAATATGGATAATGAATTATACTTGAACATTTACAGTTAACATGAAGACACAAAGTCAAAATAGTAACATAATTACAGTGTAGTGTATTACTATATTTTGTTTATCTAACACAAGGAGTTGTAGGTATTCTGCTGTAGTTCTCCAGATGCTTTGGCTTACAACTCCAATGAAGAGTAACAATTGGCTATACTATCTAGGCCTCCTGGAATTTCTAGGTTAAAACATCTGGGGGGCCACAAGTTACTCATGCCTGTCCTATGAGTATAATACATATTACTGATAATGTGGCTTGAGTTTAGAAATGCATTTTCATGGCAGGGTGAAGATGACTATAGGGAGAGACAACATTGCAATTTGGTTACATATAGGAACAGTATAAAATCAATTATTATGCCAAGAATATAGGCCTCAATCCAGAAGGTTTAACTGATTTCAGTGGGACTTTAGTTACAACTAATTTGCCTTATTGATTTCATTGAGAAGGAAGTGGTGAATCATTTCACTTGATTTGGAGCCATAATGTCTTGTACTTGTGGAAAGTGTTTCCAACACTGGTTTACATGAGAGTAATAGGAACGATGATTTAAAGCAGAAGAAATTGATTATTGGTCAAACTATTTGATGATCATAAATTAGCTAAACAAGTACTGGGTGTGAGAAAGGTGACAGCTTTGGGCACACATTCTCCAGAGGTTCTGGGATGTCCTCCAGAAGAATCAGAAGAAGAGGGAGAGGCACAGGAAGGGGCCTGAGAATGTGGGCCATCCCAAGACTCTGAGATGAAAGAAGCAAAGATGCTTATCTCAAGATCACCCGAGGTGGGCAGACTGTCTCAGGGAATAACCAAGATGTGCAGGTGGTGGGAGGGGACTTGAAGCAGGAGAGTTTCTCAGAAACAGGCGAACAGCAATAGTTCCTGACCCCATTGTCAGCAGAGGAAGGTGGCACAATTAGAAGATCAATGCACAGAGAGGAGGCTTGTTCATAAGAATTCCTGGAGGTGAATACTAAATTAGGTTCAACAAACCATTCTGTGCATGCTCAGAGCTTTGTGCTTTTGGTCGATAAAGAACACTTTGCAAGGAAACAGGTCTGTGGCTTTTGAATGTGCAAAGGAGGAACCTCAGATCCTGACACCAAGGAAATGGAAAAGAATTAGAAGTGCATGACATTCTTCGCCTAATAACATGTGTATCTTCAACACTACCTTTGTGAATCTATAGCAATGGCCAACCCATGTGAATTAGATTTCTAATTTAAGTAATTCACTTCCATATAGGCAAGTTCCATTTGATTTCCAAGACTGGAAGAGTTGAAAAAAGTGTAGAAGCCCACTGTGGAGCTGTGCTTGCAGGAAGATGGAATTATGAAGGAACAGCACTTGTTACAGGTAGATATATAAATAAAATGACAATTCAGTGAAGAAAACCAGACATTTTTTTCAAAGGTAGAATGGCTTCATTTTAAAAGTGCATAATTTCTAGAAAAGAATGGAAATGAATATCTTGTAAAGCGAAAACAATCAAGATGATTACGAATGGGGCGGCATAAAAATGTTTTAATAAATAAATAAAAATAAAAATAGTGGAAATGTTTAGGGAAATGTGGTATAGGGATGGGTGAAACTTTAATATTTGAAAGAGTCCAGCTAAGTTTTTTTCCTCTTAATGGTGTCTTCCCTTCTCCTTATTGCCACCAACCAAGCCTTTCTTGGAGATGGCAGTCAAAGGCAGCCCCCACATTATGATTGTAGTTCTGAATAGATTGCAGTTGGGAGAGGCATTCCATTAGATATTGTGATTCGAAGCCCTACAGAGCTTTATAGGTTAAAACCAGTACCTTGAATTGGGCTTAGAAGCATATAGGGAGTCAATGCAAGTGGGCCAGAAATGGTATTATGTGCTCAAACCTTCTGGTCCCAGTTATTAATCTAGCTGCTGAGTTTTGCACAAGCTGCAGCTTTTGAACAGTCTTCAAGGGCAGCACTATATAGAATGAATCTAGTTTAGAGATTACAAGAGTTAATGGTAATTTACTAAAACCAGTCTATCTCTGTCCAGATAGGGGCTTGGCTGGGCCACCAGCCAAAGCTGGTAGAAAAACCTCAGTGCCACTGAAGCCACTTGGGCCTCTAGTGATAAAGTTTTCAGTCCTTCCAAATGGATCAATCATAAACCACTGATCCTCAACCCCACTTCCTTTTTTGCTATGTTTAACATTTTGCCTGATTGAGAATTTTGGAGAATTCAAAGCTTCTATAGTACTTTATGACCCTTGAGTTCACCTAAGGAAGGTTACCCATGTTGGGGACTCAAGTTGAGCAATTCTCTCCCATGTCCAACTTAAGTCCCATCAGTGGCTTAGGAGCAACAAGTGAGCGACCTGACATGACTTGACTCAAGTTTTCTACTTTTTTTACTACCAAGGCCACTCCAAGACTTACTGCCCATGTGGCAGGATATCCTGGGGCAATCTTGGCAGAAGGCATTTGGAGTGAGCTGGAAGGCAGGCACAAACACAGCATAGGCAGTGGGAGGGAGGGACTTTTCAAGGGGGTGGGAGCAGGATAGGGAGAAGGGGGTTGTGATAAGGGAAGGCTTCAGCACTTCTTTTTGGCATGAGGGAGGCGGTGGGAGGGAGGGGCAAGGGGATGGGAAGACTTGAGAAGAGACTTGAGACTTGACTGGAAAATTTCCTTGCAATGACTTAAGATTTGACTTGGACTTGAAAGGAAAGGCTTAAGATTTCGAGTAAAGGACTTGAGCACCTCACTGGTTATTACCCTAATATGGTTTTGAAAAAAAATTATCCCAGTCAATTTAGCCTACTTCTGACTCTCATTAGGCAGAACAGAATAAACTTAAGTTACTTACTTCCTCTTCCTGTGAGATTTCAGACATGTCCTGTGTAATCTACAGAAAGCTAAAAAAAAGTTACAAACAATAAATATATTATGTTGGTCTTGACATTACCACATTCTAGCCAGCTGTCATAGAATCAGTATCTATACAGAACAACGATATTTTACCAGCCACTGGATATAACATTGTAAAACTGGAAGCAACTTTAGGATACAGGTATTAGTTTGCAATAGGGGTACAGAACCTAAAGCCTGAAGTAAATATTTCTGCATTCAAAAAGTTTGAAATGCCTCCCTTAAGGCTCAGTTACTGGCAGGAAGCACTTTAAAATGACATATGCTGGTATTTTTGGCTTACTCCTTTTGCCTTGTGCAGAAATGCGGCCATGGGAGCTTCTTTTCTGTCCCTGAGCTGACAGAGGTTCAGCACTTCTGTTTTTGTAGCTTATATTAAAGCTTGATAATAGAAGAGTAGTAGTTTGCCATAGTTTGCTAAATAACTTCAGGGCTAGCCCAGGCAAGCTAAGCAACTGCACAGGATGCCAAAATTGCAGGATGCCTAATTTTCTGTGTAAGAAGACACTGAGCTTTTGAAGGAGATACACAAAGGCTTTTTAGGTGCTCATTGGTAGGTGGTATCTCCAGCAGTGCTACTATCACCACATTTTCCCATCCCTATTCATTTAATTAAAATGGTTAAGCTGCTGATTTTCAATTTGGTGCTCAATTTGCAGGATGTATTATACTTAGAATAGTTAGGGAAATAGTGAATGGTTGTGTTTACTCACTTTTTCTATTCATGTAAAAGGTTACATAGAGATTCTAATAAGTTGAGTGATAGTATCAAAAAATCTGGAGTATTATTTCAGATAATGAATATGTATTACAATATTGTGATAAATAAAATGTAGTTAGTAAAATGGAAATTGCGCTACAGTTTTCTGGGCAATTCTTTATCATTTAACATGCACCAATGGGACATGAGGTGTGCTGGCAACACTTTAATTTGCATAGGGCAAGAGCAGGCAACATTTTTGGCCTGTCAGCACATTTGGTAATTTAAGAAACTAATGGCTCCCTTGGAATACATGACTAATGACAAAGTACAAATAACTGGCCTCTGAGGCTGAGTACAAGGCAAAGGTGAGGTCTGAGCCTCATTTTTTTAAGCTCAAAGTTTTCAGTGCCAAGAGAGATAGAGAAGTATTTTTCTCTACCTTCCCTTCAGCTACCAGGAAATTCCTTCCCCCTTTATCTTTTACTTCCTCACCAAGCTCACTACCCAAAGTCATATACATACATCATGTATTCATCATGAATGTGTGCATATGTACACACGCATCTCTTCTACACTTCACTGTAAGCACACAAACACACACTCACTTTTTCAAGATTTTTCAAACCCTAACTAAACCATTTCTTTTTCATACAAATGTGTACAGCCCTGTCCAACTTCCCAGAATTCTTCCAGGGGTTGCATCAGTCCCCACTGGCTTCTCTGACCTCTCAGATGGCTTATCGCTGTCCTTCATAGCCTCCAAACTGTTCCTTTTAGTCATCCTCCCTGGCCCAGCTCTTCATGAAAAGGTGACAGAAATCCTGGTTTTTCTTGGTGGCTGGGCATACCACAAAGGAAAGCAGCATCCTGCAGCTGCCTGTCACCTTGATTACTTAAAAAATTCTCTAAACTCTACATGTAACCCAGAGGCATTCATGGGAAATGAGGATGAGAGTGGCTTGGGTCTCTCACTTTGTGTTGGAGTGATTCTAGATGCCATTAAGAAAATGTATTTGCTTTTGGAAAAAAATGGGAGGGAATGCCTCCTTGGAAAGTATCAAGAAAGGCATTTGGCATTTCTTTAGCAATTGAGAGTGTAAGTATTATGTATACTATAATCAAATTATTATAATTGTTTAATGAATTTAGCATTCTATTATGATACTGTTTCATCTGGAAAATGAGAAAAATATTAATTGCTGGTGAGTTAATCATCTAGCACAATGATGGTGAACCTTTTCGAGACTGAGTGTCCAAACTGCAACCCAAAACCCACTTATTTATTTACTGCAATAAAACCTGAAAACTGAGGTTTTAGTTCAGATAAAACAACTCACAGCCAGTCCAAGCAAATATATATATAAGTCCTTGGCAGTGCACTGACCAGCCATGCGAAAGCTCAGCCGAGTTGTGGCTAATGAGTCACAGCTCGTGATGTCATCGCCTGGCACTGCTACTCGTTTCTGAGCATGCGCATGGCCCCTATGTGTGCTGTTATCTGATGCTCGGCTGCTGGGGTGATGCTAGGGCGACTTGGCTCATGTGCCGAGAGGGAGGGCTCTGCATGCCCGCTGTGGCACGCATGCCATAGGTTCGCCACCACTGACCTAGTATATTGCCTACCTCTAGTATGGGCTAATCAGAGTCTTCAAGACAGCTCTGAATAGCTGTCATCTGACTGCTGTCTATGCATATGACAATAAAATGTTTTTTTGTCAGTACAAAGAAATTGGAAGTGGCCTTGCTGGGCTAGTAGAAAGCATCCAAAAGTAATCCCCCTTTAGGCCCAAAGAAAATGTCACCCAGATTTTATATTGTTAACTTGTTTTATATTTTTATTGTATAATATTTTAATTGAGATATTTGTGAGCTGCCCTGAGGCTTTGGCGAATGGGGCAGCATAGAAGTTTGCAAATAAATAAATAAATAGATAGATAGATAGATAGATAGATAGCTAGCTAGCTAGCTAGCTAGCTAGCTAGCTAGCTCAGTGCTTTACATCAAGAGAAATTTTTACCTATACTTTTTAGCTGTTGCTTTCACTTCTTTATGTACACTGAACTTAGGGTTATATCCGTTCCTATTTGATGTGCTCTGCCTATGTTTACAGAAAGGAGGAGAGCAGGTTAACATCCTTTTTGTCCCAGCCATGTTTATTGTGGTGTTAGGAAAATTAGAAAATGTTTAGTCCCACGCCACCTCTTCCTTTAATTCAAGTGCCCTAAAATAGCTATCCGCTGACAAAACCTAGTTTTGTTAAACTGAGACTGCATGTGCTTTCATTCTGTGCATTTCAGAGATGTTGAGGGACATATAGGATCAGGCTCATTCTGTCACCTCCTACATGAGAATCACTAGGGAACGACTACATCATTTACTCTAACCCATCCCCTGCCACTAAGTGCTGTGCATTTTAATGCATGATTTATTTCAATTATTTTGAAATGGAGTAGGAATTCCAAGCAAATGAGAAACTGCTCAGCATGATTCCTCAGAAAAGCTTGAGAAATATTTCCTGCATCTGCTTTTTGATTATAAAATTAACTGAATACAACTTTAAAGTCCTAAGTATTAAGCATTTTTATTTAATGTTCTTCTGTAGTTGGTGAGGATGGACAAATAAAAATATGGTCAAAGAGTGGAATGCTGAGATCCACCTTAGTACAGCAAGGTAAGTTGTTTCATTTCCTGACACATAACTTCAACATACCTTTACAAATCTATTTTAATGCATTCCCAGAAATTCCCAGAGGATAAATTTGAAGTAGAAGACCCCTAATTTTTTCAGCATATGAAAAATCTAGATTGCTAATTAATTAAATGGCTTAAAATGCATGCAGAGGATCCCAGAGTAATATGCATGCTTCTTCCGTGAGGCATCTTTTGTGTACAGTTTGTCCCTTCAACAAATCCCAGAAGCCATTTGACCATACTTTTGCAATGAAAAAGAAACTTGTCTAAGGAAAACTTGTCTAAGCATTCTTAAAAGAGTTCTACAACTTATAGCATTCCTCAGTCAATCATGCTGGCTAGGGAATGCTGGGAGCTGTAGAATTTTTTTCTGTTTAAACATGCATGGGACTGCATCCTAATTAATTGAAAGTGATTTTTTCATAGACCCCCTCCCCCATTTTAGCTTGCTCCAGGTACCCAAGAGTGTTCTAGATGTATGCGGGTTTTTTAAAGAAAGGATTTTATTTGAGAAATGCAAAGTAACAGTGACATCATCACACACAGCTTGTTTTATATTATTCAGCTCAGGTTCTGTACATAATTTAAGATGGTTGCCCTTGCACTTGTAGTTGTAATATATATTTTAAGCTATTACAGCCACACAATAATCACTTTTCCACTATTTCCCTTGATAGTTATTGCACTTTTCCAAACGGGATTGCAAACTTGGTGGATTCTGGTCTATAGATTCTCCATTACTGTATGTAATAAAGGAAGATCATGTTTCTAAGAATGAATCCAGCTTGATTATCTATCCAGTCAATCAGTTATGTTGTCTTAGTTTTTCAGCAAGAGCCACTTCCAAATTTTCAGAAGCCATCTATCCATCAGTGTATTCTATTTTCATTTTCCAGTATTGTGCTGTAACCATTCTTGCCACTGTTAGTAATAGCATAGTTAGGTCTTCATATAACAGCTGTTTTTGTGTGTCATTAAAAATAGAAGGAAGAAGTGATAATTGGGTACCATGAACTGTTTGTTTTGTTATTTGAGAAATATAATGGAAAATGACTGTCCAAAATACTTGCACATGTTCACAAGCCCGCACATATGGAACAAAGTACCTTTGACCTGGCAACCTCTCCAGTAATTTGGGGGAAAATTGTGTTAATATGATTTAGTTTCACAAGTGTCAGATGCCACTTTGGTATTCATTTTAAATATGTTTCTCTAATTGTTTCTGAAATGGACTTCAGTGGTTTTTCTTCCCAGATTGTATTCTATTATCTGTAATCTGTTCCTCAATATTATACTCCCAAACTAGTTTCAATCCTGTTTTTTCGCTATGAAGTGTTATTAACCAACTGTAGATAATAGAAGTTTAATCTTTAGACCTGCCTTTGTGAGATAACAAATTTATTTTCAAAGATGGTTAGGGATTATCGGGTTGTTTCATTTGATATATTAGTATTGAAGCAAAGTTTTGCATTTCACTTGTTTTCAATATCTTGTGATTTTTCTTGCAGTTTTTCTATAGAAATAGACTTTCTTCACTTTATGATGTCTCTTCAGTCCAAGTGTTCCTTTTTCTTTGCATTATTTACATTTATCTAGGTCACTGAACTCTGGGCAGTCTAGAAAAGTGATAAGTGGGAGTTACAGAAGCAACAATAATTTTGTTACAGGAAGCCCACACTCTCATTCTGTTTTTTTAAGGAGGGGTTTTTTTATTGTTTCCAATGCCTTCTTTTTTGGGGATGAAAAAAAGGAAGAATCTATATTATGGGTACCAAGGGGAAGATCTGTGGCTATCCATGCACAGTATAGTCAGTTTGTGTTAGTGGTATAACCTGTGTAGGGGAAAAGGAGTTGTAATAACATTTTAAATCAGGAAAACTGAAATCATCACTTTTTATTTGACTATTTAAGCATTTCTACTTATGCACAATTTTTTTAACCTAGTACTAAAATTTTGGATAACCTTCTGCCAGAGTAAGAGTGATTTGGATTGGCATACTTTGAAATAAAAGTAAAAATTTAGGGAGAGACATCTTGATGGTATCTATTGTAACATGCCTGAAAAAATTCAGCTGCTTTCATGATTTGGCATCAACTTAAGGTTTGTGGATACTGGGTAGTAATTTTGTTTACACAATTGTTTTAAGACTTCTGGAGTTGTTACATCTAAATATTTTAAGCTGGATCCTTGCAAAGTCAATTTTGTAGCCTCTTTTGCTGCTCCTGTGTCATATTCCAACATATCTACTCAGATTTTAGGGCCTTTAATTTTAATTCTGCAGTTTTCTCATATTCAGGCAGTTTTAGTCCGGACTTTGAAATAGTATTATTTGGATTTGACAGCATCAACAATATATCTTCTGGATACACATTTATGGTATGAACACTTCAACTCCCTGAGTCTTCTTGTCTTTATGTATTAATTCTATCATTGCTTCTGTCACTATCGCAAATAAGAGGAGATAATAGGTACACTTCTTTTATGCCTCTGTATAATTTGAAAAGGGTGGAGTTTATGGCATTTGCTATCACTACCACTGTAGAGTGTGAGTATATCTGCCCACTAAGATTAATCAGTTTGGTGCCAGATTCTTATGTTCACATTTCCTGATTAAGAAGGAACATTCAAGTTTATCAGAAGCCTTAAGGACATTAAAAAGCAACTGAAACCTGAATAGTAACACTGTGGTATGTTGTGTTCACTGTTCTATGAATGGAATCAGCAAAATAAATCAGACAAATCCAGTTTGCACAGTTTTGATATAAGTTGTTATGAAATTGTTTAATCTTTTGACCATAATTTCTATCAATAGCTTGACATATCGATTAAAAAGTATAGTGAGACAGTATGAGCTTACAGAGCTACAATCCATACATGGGTTAGCAATAATTACTAGTCTCCATGGTTGTCTGAAATCAGGTATAGTTTTTCCCTCTGCAACAGCATTAAACATGTAGCCACGGTATCAATATTTCTTTAGATTTCTTGTAGAACGCATTTGTAAATCCATCCAACCTTGGGGACTTTCTCCATTTTTCTGTTTCCTTATAAATGTCTGCATGGGCTGGTATGAAAAATTGTTGTGATTCTCAGAAACTGGCATCATGCTTAATTTATCTAAAATGTATACATTTGTTTAGAATCAGGATTATTCATTGGATGCAAGTTTTCATAAAATTTTGAGAAAATTTCATTTATTTCTTAAGGATTGTGAGTTTCCCCATTATTTTTATTACTGAAATGGCTTGGCTGTTTTCTAAAGCTCTTGCTGGTAATTTTGTGGTTTTGTTTTCTAATGTATAATAATTCCTATCTGTGTATGTCATGGCTGTATGAGTTTTTTCCCTGTTTGGCCTGCTCACACTCTGTTTTTTTCCTAGTTAAAAATGTGTACCCCTGTTTGCTTCCTGTTTATATTTGCCACTTTATTTTACTATATCATCCTGTATAATGACCTTAGCTTTGGCTGACCATTTATTTAAGTTATTTTCCTCAATTTTAATATTACACAAATCACTGCTTTCATTGACCCCATATTACTGCTTTATTCCTACTGGATTCTTTGTAGGAAAATATTGTATTATTATTATTATTGCCCAAGCAGTTTGTGATTGGATGCCTTTTGATGAATTTCTTGATGAACATTTGCATTTAACCTGCATTTCAGATTCTATTCATTTTTATTTATTCATCATAACCATTTCATTAACAAGATTATCAACTTTATCTGGTCATCAGATTTATAAATATTCTTCCTGACTGCAAATATGTCTTGCCGGTCCAGGAGGGCTTTTCATATTGCAATATATTGCATATAAGAACAATAACATTAACCACCAATAATATGTCCTATCTTGGGAGAGAGAGCCAAACAGTGGCCTCACTCTATCTGCTTTCTCAGCCTGTGGTGATAACATGGGAGCCCAGAATTGTTATGTACTAAACCAAGTAATATGCTACCAATCTGATAGGCTGTGTAATTACTATATTTCCTTTATTGTTAGTTTTAATTTCTCTAGTATTTTGAAAATAAGTTTCATGAACTGGTCCCTTCCCTTACTCTTACTGGTTATCAAGCTCAAGAAAATTCCTTGAAGTGCAGTACTTTTACTGAAAGTTAACAGGTCACAGGTCAGCATGAACTTTAAATAGAGTTCTGTTGAGGAAGAAGCATCAGGTCTTGTAAAGAGTTGAATCTACACACACACACACACACACACACACACAGAGGTCCCTCTCAATCTCCCTGTTTGGAATGTTCTAAGGTTATCTACTCATCTGTTCCCTCTTTTTCTTCCTAGAAACAAAAGTAACATTATTAATAACCTAAATTACTGTAGAATTCCTTTCTCCTTTAATAGGATTCATTATTCTTATTCCCCACTTCTATACCATCCTTATTTCATAAGGTATTGACATCCAATAGGTTTAATTGGTTCTTGATAACTTTTGCAGAGACATTTTGGTTGACTCCCCGCTCCCAATTTCCTTCCATTCAACTTTTATCTTTTTATCTGCTGATGAAAAGTAATAATTCAATAAAATGTTTCAATAAACTTTTCTTCCCCATTCCTGCTGGCTATCCATTCCATTTTGGCTTGTAGTTGTGTATCCTGAAATGGGTGTCTTGCTTTAAAAAGTCACAATAGTGGAATAGTGGAAACCCTTATGATCACCTAAAGCAGTGGCTTTCAATCTTTTCACAGCTGGGGACCAGCAAAAATGAAAACCACCTCAGGGATTGCTGAGGCAGAAACGAAAAGCACCATACACATAATACAGAATTCTGTGTATTAGTTTCCAAACACAATACCAAAAACATGAAAATTCTCCAAAACAACAAGAAACCAAACAACAAAAAATGCCAACAAAGGACAAAATACCAAAATTGGCACAGTGTGGCTCTCAGCTGACTCCCAGCAAGCCATCTCACCCCTTCCTACCTTCCCAGCAGCACTGATGCAGCCCCCACATACGTG